ATTTATAAACATTAAAAACCAAAAGAGCCTTTTGACTGCTTGTACTGTGTTTTACTTCTCGAACTTTTTTATATAAACCTATCGATAGATTAGTGGTGAAATTTACAATGATATCTAAAAATAATAGTGTGTGACTTCAATGTTGTGATTTTAAGAGGTAGAGATCTAATATATTCAGATGGCGTTCTGCTGCGAACATGCTCCCCCCGTTGGAAGATACAAGCTTTCAACCGATGTGGTCTCGATTGGCAGAACGGCGATTTTGGCAATGGCTCTCTTGACTAGACCATTTTGTGTACGAATAATTGCTATTCTCACTGTTTGGCTTTTAAGCGTTTTTAATAGCCGTTGAAACTCGTTTAATTGTTAAGAAAAGTCTAGCGTTTCAATGGGTAATGTACAATTTATTATATATTGGTAATGTAAGGTAGACGATAAAGTGACCGATATAATAAAGCGATGGATACGTTATGAAGATCAATACCAGACTGAGAAAGGGCAGGCGGGCCGAATTGCCCGTGCCCTAATGCCGTCGTCACCAGTGATGACGATGTCGACTCGACCAAGCGGCCACCTGAGCGGTGGTGCATTGTCCTCCTTGAGCAGCACGATGCTGCCGGCCTGAAGATTTTGCTTGCACGATCGCCATTTCCCGCGCTCTTGGAGCAACGACAAATACGATGTACTCCACTTCTTCCAAAATGATTGCTGCATGTGACATATTCGCTGCCAACGGCTGAGGCGACCTATGCTTAGGTGCGTTATGTCTGGCTCGTCGATAGTGGCATTAGCTTTGCCCCAGATGAAGTGTCCAGGCGTGAGTATCTCCAAATCATTCGGGTTTTCTGTAATAGAGAAAAGCGGTCTTGAATTAAGCATTGCGGATATTTGACAGATGAGAGTTCGGAATTCGTTGAATGAGAGAAGAGAATTTGCTCACTTAACAGCAGCCTCCCACAATCCTCCAAAATGTGGCGAACGGGGCGGTATGAATTTCCAGTTGACTCCCAGTGCTATGCAATTGCAAACAATTTCATTGCGCTGTGGATCGCTTATAAACAGGTCGCGCAGTTCCTTCAGCTCATTTCGAGCACCCACGAAATTTGTGGCGTTGTCTGTCTATATTGTATGCGGTTTCCCTCGAAGGCTGATGAATTTCTTCAAGGCAGTGATAAACGATGACGTGGACAGGTCCTCTACCAACTATAAATGCGTTGCTTTCGTTGCAAAGCATATAAAAATTGAGATGTAGCACTTCGTTGGTGAGCGATTCCTGACCTCTGATTTTACGTAGAAAGGACCGCAAAAGTCGATGCCAGTTACGTGAAACGTCGGACTTGGCTGCACACGCTCAGCTGGTAGCGGGGCCATGACTTGCTCCAGAAGTTTAGGTCGCATTCGAAAGCAGCGAACGCACTTGTTGATGATGTTCGAGACAGCCTTGAGACCTCCGATGGGCCAGTATCGCTGGCGGAGTGTTGCTAGAAGGAATTGCGGACCAGCATGAAGAAATTCCAAATGATAATGTGTGATTATAGCTGCTGTAACCGGGTGGCGTTTAGGCAACAATAACGGATGCTTTGCTTCATATTCCAAGTCTGAGTTCTGAAGGCGCCCGCCGATGCGCAAGAGTCCCTCAGCGTCCAACAGTGGGCACAAAGAACGAAGTTTGCTTCTTGTTGGAAGCGGCTTTTCTAAGCTGAGTGCTTTGTATTCCTCTGCGAAGTGCGTAAGTTGAATGTTTTTTATAAGTAAATGCGTTCCGCACTTTATCTTTATCTGTCCGCAGGGTTCAGCTGAGAGGGCACATGACGCCAGGTCATGCCCCCGGTCCGCTCCTGTATTTGTGATACCCTGTTGGATACAAAGACGTTAAAATTTGAAGGTGATTCACGAATCCATGCAAGCGCTACTGTTGAATCGGTCCAGCAATAATATTTGCATTCGAACTGAATGCACTTCGCGATGAGCTCTGATAATAAAAGTGCGGCTGCCAGCTCAAGCTTTGGGATTGTCAGCGTCTTTAACGGGGCGACCCTTGATTTAGAGCATAGCAAATGTGATGAAAATACCCCTTGCATTTCGGATCTGACAAATACGCATGCACCATAAGCGGCTGTGCTGGCGTCGCAAAATCCATGCAGCTCATACGTAGCCAGCGGCATCAATACAAAACGAGAAAATTTCAAGCTGCTGACAAATGAGAGCTGCGATATGAGTTTGATCCATTCGGAGTGCAGCGACTGCGACAGGCATTCGTCCCAATTGACCTTTTCCTTCCACAGTGCTTGGAGAAATACCTTTAACCTGGTAACGATGGGAGCGATTAATCCGAGCGGATCGTAAAATCTAGCTATCATTGATAATATGCTCCGCTTTGTGACTGATCCTTGAGGTACGATTTTAGCAAAGTTGAAAAGCAGGCTATCAGAGCTAGGGCTTCAAGCTAAACCAAGCGTCTTTGCAATGTTGGTGCCATCCTTGAACTCCATTAGCTGCTCACAATCAGATTCGCTTTCTCCTTTTAATGCATCAGGCTCGTTTGAGCACCACTTTCTGATTGGAAAGTGACCTTTTGCCAGTAGCAGTTTTACTTGCTGTCGGATCTGAATGGCTTCTTCCATTGAGTCCCCTCCAGAGATTAAATCGTCTACATAGAAACTATTTTTGCAGCTAGTGGAAAGGTAGGCTCTTCGTCGTGGGCCAGCTGCTGCATCGCTCGAATTGCTAGAAACGCAGCGGGTTTGGTTCCATACGTTACTGTATCCAAGGTGTACGTCCTTATATTTTCATTTTGATGATCACGCCATAAGATGCATTGCAGGAATTTGTCTGGATGCATTATTCGGACGCAGCGGTACATCTTACAGATGTCACCGCACATGGCAACCTTTAAGAATCGAAACTTAATTAAAATGTTAAATAATTTGGGTTGAATTGCTGGGCCTGTATGCAAGAGATCATTCAGAGATGCGCCTGATGTGGATTTGGCTGATCCATCACGACGCGTAATTTGGTGGTTGAGCTATTTGGCTTTTCTACGCAGTGCACTGCAGTGGTGGGGTAAATAGAATTGTGGGACAAGCTGCTGCTTGGACGCCAAAGACATGTGGCCCAAGTCGATGTATTCGCGCATGAATGCAGAATAGCTCTCCATCAACTGGTGATTTTTGGCCAGTTTGTTTTCCAGCGACTTGAAACGTCGTAGAGCACGTTGATATGAGTCTCCTAGCGTGTCGAAGCTGAGCTTTGCTGGAAGCCTAACTGAATACTGCCCTGACTTAAGTCGCGTGTAACCTTGGAGAAATAGCTGCTCACATAGCGCGTCTTCACCAGAGAGCGCAGGGGTTGTACCGCAGCAATTGTCGACTTCCCAGAATCGTTTTACAATATCCGACAGTGAATCCTCCCATGGATTAGGTTCCTTGTAAAGGGCTGATAGGGATGTGTGTTTTTTGTGTACGTTGGTAGGAGTTGGTAGTGTTAATGTGTGTTTGTGTGTGTGTTTTGGTATGCATACGGTACATAAACCGTCTACAAATTTGTCGTCGCAACTAGAACTTGAACCAGTTGGACTGCGGAGAGGGTTTCCTACGTCGAGCAAATGAGGGTCTGAAGACACGGCGACATCCTCTGTTGATTGCAGTTGTAGAGAATGAGTGAACAGGCAGTGATGGTACTGTTTCTGATACTGATTTTATTCAACAAACTTAATTTCTATTTATAGGTAACAAAAGGTACAGAAAGTGCTGAGTCTAGTAAGAATATGGTAAAAGGGAATTGGAATTAATATTGAATTAATTTGGATTTAATATGATATTGTGTTATTGGGCAATTGTGATAGTCAGCAATTGCACCAGTGTTTTTGCCCTCTGACGAGCGATCGCATCGTTGGCAGAAATTGCTGCAGAAGCGGTTATTGTTGACTCAGCTACAATGCCATGTCGTTTGTTATTATGTCTCCCGTTACATGGGTCGACCTGACTTATTCGATAAGTGTATATTATGTAATATTAATTACTGCATAAATATGCGACTGAACAGGTAGGTTATCCGCCATTCGAATTTGGCCGATGCAGAGGAGATCGAAAAATAGTCCGGCACCAAGTAATAAATCTATTTTCTGAGATTTGAAAAACGTTGGATCCGCGAGCGAGATGTTTTTGGGGATATTCCACCCAGAGATGTCTAATCCAAAATGGGGTTGATAATCCGTTATAGTGCGAGTAACGACTGCTGAAAATTATGTGCTGAAGCTCCTATCACTTGACTGCGCTGAGATGTCAGTGGACATGTTAAAAGATAGGGTTGATTCACCTATACCAGATATTGATACGGCAACATGATGAGTTTTGAGTTGGAGGTGCTTAACTAGACGAGCAGTGATAAAGTTGAGCTGAGATCCAGAATCAAGTAATGCACGACAGGGTACGAATAAACCTGAGTGGCTCTTGGCAAATATGATGGCGGTTGGAAGCACCACGTAGTCTGCAGGCTGGGCATTCGTGGCTTCAGGTGTGAATTCAAGCGTAGTGCTGACGAGAGTTGAAGATGATGGATTCCCTGTAGACGATGCGTGAGGCTGGATCGTGGTTGCAGACTGCAAGCTTGTTGTACACAGGGCAGATGATTGAGTTGTGGTGGGGCTCATGTGCAGCAACGAATGATGTTTTTGTTGACAGTGCCTGCAGTGACCTGAGCGACATTGCTGCAAGCCATGGCCTTTGCGCAAGCAGTTTAGGCAAAGATGCAATCGCTAAGACTCTTTGTGGCGCAAACTTGGGGACAGATTCAAAAACAACGGGCATTTTGCAAGAAAATGCTCTTTTGAGTCGCAAAAATTACAAATTTGCTGGTAATTGTTGGATGAAGATGCAATGAATGTGTTACGGTTCGACTTTTGTAGATTTCTGCCCACCTGGTGGCTAGGTGTAGGTACCGTAGCGCCTTTCAAGTTTTCCATCATGCGGCATCTCTTTTCTAAGAAGCTTGTGCGATATTGTGTGTATAAGTAATCCATCAGCCAGCTCCTCAGTTGTTGACATGGTGCTAAGCGCCCGAAGATGAGAGTTAATTTTGTCACTCAACTCACGCAACGCCTCTGCTGATCCCTTTTCAACACCTGACAGCCCGATTATAGCTCGCACGTGGCCCTGAAAGTGTAGCAACTTATTATCAAAACGCTTTATGAGTAACTCCAACGCCTTGTCGTAATTTACGTCGACAGGCTCTAACGATTTGATTGTGTTGAGAGCAACACCATCTAAACACGCACGTAAATGCTGAAATTTCTCAATCTTACTCAGGTCCTCATTGCTGCCTATGACAGTCTTGTACATGGCGTAAAAATCCGGCCAATCCTCGTAGGAGCCGCTGAACCTGGGCAGCTGCAATTCCGGCAGGCGAGACTTACGGTTGAACGAGTGAGCAAGTGTGTGCGTACTTTCAGTAAAGCGTGGTATAGTTGTTGAGTTGGCGTCCGTCATATGTCCCTTAGTGAGTACATCCAGTTGACGAGCGAGAGTGGCTTTGATCTTCCAGTAAACCTTTTCGAAGTCTGAGCGGGAGTCCGTTGAAAGCTCGAGCAAATCTAATTTTTCTAGCCTTGACTGACTGATTTCAAACTCGACCTTCATGCTCTCCACAGATTCTATACGCACCATCAAGTCCGCCTCGTCAAAGCTGATCATCTCACCGGCGCTGAAGAATTCGTTCATTGCTAATAGTTGACGTTGAACAGAAGCGCGTTTGGCTTTGCAAAAGTCTTTTTCACTTGTCGAATTTTCCATTCTGTTGTTGGCGAGGTTATGTTAGGTTGGTACGTTTTGTTGAGTGCTCGATGTACTCCGGCCTGTCACCAAACTCCACTTATGGAGGAGAGCTTTGCCCTTGACCACTGGGAATGTCACAGAGTGGGCAGTGCGAGAATGCGATTACCGTTTTTATGCGTGCTGCGGCTTGTGTATGTGTATGTATTGCGAGATCGATTGTAGCGGCACTTGCATTCACATATGTATGTATGTAAGTATGTAGGTATCGGCTCGACGGCTTCTTTTCTAAGCAAACGGTTGTGCTTGGCACTGATATGCACCAAACAGCTTGGTTATTATAGCCGATCTGCTAAATAACGCGATAAGATAGAGAGTAGCGCTCACTCGAGCCCGTGTACGAAATATGTATGTACATATTTCTGTTCATGTATTTAGTGTCTCTGCTGCAGCGGCAAGAGAGTGATGAATAACGAAGGTGAGATTTGCGGCAAGACGAGAAGCAAGATCACGTCGGGGTCACCAATGTTTTGAGGAGATGCTGGTTTGCACCCCACTTCGGCCCCTTTTGTAATTTATAAACATTAAAAACCAAAAGAGCCTTTTGACTGCTTGTACTGTGTTTTACTTCTCAAATTTTTTTATATAAACCTATCGATAGATTAGTGGTGAAATTTACAATGATATTTAAAAATAATAGTGTGTGACTTCAATGTCGTGATTTTAAGATGTAGAGATCTAATATATTCAGATGGGGTTCCGCTGCGAACAGATATAATAAATGAATCTGTATCCATGTAGAGTATTTTTGATGATGGGCATTTTAGAGAATGAAAATTATAGAAATAGTCATACATTAACCATTTTTAAAGTTCTAGTACATAAACTCCAATGTATATGGGTTTATCATACAAAATTCTTGATTTAGTGGACTCAATGGCAGCTAAATTTTCACCAAAGATTTCAACACTGTGAAAATTATGTCTAGCTATGCGTTGTCTAAACCCTGCGGAATTTTGTCTTGAATTATAATGTTTAATTAATGCGACCTCACGTCGCTTACTACATTCTCCATCGTTTTACCGTAGACAGTGTTTGGCTAAGCGCCGGCCCATGGCAGCACAATGAGCATTGAGACCATATGTAACATCTCTTAAATGTAACGTCTCTCTTTATTACCGTTTTGTTTGCTTTGCTTATGCCCTATCTGGTGCTTTGCTCTCTGTCGGCGTTCGACAGCCGCTGTGGGGGAGGCTCGTCAGAGAAAGTAGAAGACACTTCAGATTCGATCATCACCGTAGTTAAACTTTTTGCTGTCTGGCACAGTGACCTGCCGGCCACAGAGTTCTAAACTAAACCTTACATAAACCTAATAACTTTAACAGTCTTGAACCGGCCCCCGCGTCTTCAATCGACCCATCGTTAACTCTCGTTATCAAATCCGAACACCTTTCGCTAGTTTTGGATAAAACATATATATTAACTTAAGTACAATGAACTGTGAATATATTAACTGAACAATCAGCGTCTCTTAAATAATCTTGCAAAACAACGCTACTGAAGCTCAGTAGCTCAACATTTGGTGACCCCGACGTGATAGAAACATAAACTCGTTAGATTTTATCACAAAAAACATAACATTTTCGTTGGATAAATTTGCTTTGAACCAGGGTTTTTTTGGTTTGTCGTATGTACACAAGCAACAGAAACGGTTCTCGCGTCATCTGCTTTGCGGTCTGCTTGCTTGCTGCTGTTTTGTTTCGGTTTCGTGCTCTCAGCGTGCATGCCTTTGTTGCTGTCGGATGCACAAGTGCAGTGCGTTTCAAAATGTTAGCTCACGCTGCTGATCTGTAAAACTGCAAGACCGTGTGTTTTGAACGCTGCGATCGATTGTACAGTTCATGTAAAACTGCTCGAGGTTATTCACCGGCTGTTAACCTCTACCCTCGCTCAGTGACTCTAAACCCCGCTTTTTACTGAGCATACACGATGACTTCTAATAGCACCCCTTCAATCTCGCCCCCCTCACCTTTGTTCGTCGATTCGGAAGCTGCATTCAACAAGCGCCAGGTGCAATCCATGGTAGGAGCAGCACGGAGAATGGAAACTGCCGTCGGCAAGGAGAGGATTGGCGAACTCAGTGAGGAGGAGTTAAATGTGCGACTAAAGTTGCTAGCGGATCTGGTCGCTTCGTTCAACGAGCACCATTATGCCCTGGAGAGGATTGATCTCGATGAGATTGGCAGTCCCTTGAGGGAGGAGTTTGACGAATGCGTGGTGATGCTGGAAATTCGCATGAAGCGTGAGTTGAACAAGCGGCAGACCACAATGCTCCCATGCTCAACAATGCGGACGGATCATGTTGGAGAGGCCAGCTACAGTCATAGTGCAGAGTCGGCCTCGCCTGCCGGAATTAAAGCTTCCCGAATTCAGCGGGGGCTACGCGCAATATGCTGCGTTTTGGGGCATGTTTGCCTCCATTATTGACAAGGATTCTGACCTAACGAATGTGGAGAAGCTGCAGCACCTACGATCCTGCCTGAAAGGACCTGCTCTAGACACAATCACTTCGCTAGAATTCAGCCACGCCAGCTATCCCATCGCCCTAGACCTTCTTAATAAACGATTCAATTTCAAGCGTTTAATATTTCAGGCACATGTCACCGACATTTTGGGTGTGCAGCGTATTGAGACCTCGTCTGTGTCCCAGCTCCGGTCATTGTCAGATACTGTAAATGCCAATCTGCGGGCCTTGCAGAGTGTGGGGACAAAGGACCAGATTGCTGACTGCATTCTGATACATAGCCTGCTACAGACAGTGGACAGCGCTACACAAGCCAAGTGGGAGGAATGCTCGTCAATGGATAGCATACCCACAAGCCAGCAATTTACCGCTTTTCTGGAGCAGAGATGGCAGAGGTTGGAGACTCAGGAGCACGCTAAGGACATGTACACTAATAGCAATCGGAAACACTGCCTAGTTGCAACTACCTTCAAGCCGATTGCCTGCGCGCTCTGCGGCGATACCGGACATTCGATATATCGATGTTCTCAGTTCAGCAACCTTTCTCCTCGACTTCGGCTCGAGGAAGCTAATAAGCTATCCCTATGCACCAACTGCCTCCGATCAGGCCATCAGCAAGGTGAATGTCGTTCACGATCCTGCCGAGTATGTGGTGCTAAGCATCACACACTACTTCATTTCGAGTCTTCGTCCTACACTTCTCAAGCCATTCTGCCTCAACTCTTCAAATCAACATCGACTCTACGAATTCCCGCGATACCCTCTGTCGCTGAACATGCCGTAACATCGTCAGCCACGTCGCTCTTGGCCCAGAGTCATCGACGGGACGCTGTGATTTTGCCCACTGCCATAATCAGCGTAAGGAGTCGCTCCGGGATGTTGATTCCTTGCCGTGCCCTGCTCGATTCTGGATCGCAGGGTGCATTTCGTCACTTCTCGTCTGGCTCAACAGTTGCAGCTACAGAAGAAAGAGTCGGAAGTTTCCGTTTCTGGTCTCAGGCGATTCGTGTGCCATATCCGAAGGATGCTTCGTCGATATCCAACTGGAATCACACGCGTCCAACTATGCCGCGACCATTACGGCACTTATTGCTCCAACCATTACGGGTAACCAACCCAACGGTATCCACGACATGAATCGCTGGAACATGCCCTCCAACATACCTCTGGCGGATCAGAAGTTTGACCAGCCCCAGCCAGTTGATATTCTGATTGGAGCGGCTCTGTTCTTCGAGCTTCTATGCGCTGGCAATATCAAGATGGGAACTGGACTGCCACGTCTTCAGGAGACCAGACTGGGATGGATTGTTGCAGAAGAGGTTTCTCCGTCTCTCAAGGCAGCTCCACTTTCTGCTTCTCTATTTTCAGGTAGCTCATCTGAAGTGGCCCCTCGCTCGACCCAGCATAGGGTCAGAAATAAAGTCCGGAGTAGCGGTACTGAAGACGGCGCTGAAGACAACAACAGTGCTGCAAAATAAGGATGTTAAAGACCCGTGCTCTTCAACGGGGGGAGTATGTTCGGCTAAGCGCCGGCCCATGGCAGCACAATGAGCAATGAGACCATATGTAACATCTCTTAAATGTAACGTCTCTCTTTATTACCGTTTTGTTTGCTTTGCTTATGCCCTATCTGGTGCTTTGCTCTCTGTCGGCGTTCGACAGCCGCTGTGGGGGAGGCTCGTCAGAGAAAGCAGAAGACACTTTAGATTCGATCATCACCGTAGTTAAACGTTTTGCTGTCTGGCACAGTGACCTGCCTGCCACAGAGTTCTAAACTAAACCTTACATAAACCTAACAACTTCAACAGTCTTGAACCGGCCCCCGCGACTTCAATCGACCCATCGTTAACTCTCGTTATCAAATCCGAACACCTTTCGCTAGTTTTGGATAAAACATATATATTAACTTAAGTACAATAAACTGTGAATATATTAACTGAACAATCATCGTCTCTTAAATAATCTTGCAAAACAACGCTACTGAAGAAGCTCAGTAGCTCAACAGATAGCATTAACCATTAATTTATAAAAGTTTATCTCAAACTCATTCTTAGCTACTTTTCTATGTTATGTATTTAGATCAATATAGGGTTTAAGCAAAGACAATATAAGTATAAGATGCGTAACGCCATACGAAATTTCTGCACACGAATTTTTGATGCTGGCTCTAGAGCTGGCTCCAGGCTCTCTTTAAATTTTTTAGAGAGAGAGCGCGCCCTAGAGCCAGCCCGCTTCTTGTATGCATACAGCATACGAAGGCACACGAAGTTGGTTCTTTGCCGATGCGACAGCCGAGCCGAGTCGTCGCGACGACTGTATGTGTGCACATGCATACGTTTTTTACAGCGCTGTCGAAATATACCCTTCACTTTATAAGTGTAAGTTAATTTTGCAAGACGCTTACCACCCCAATATTAAAAAACTG